AAAAAAAAAAAAAAAAAAAAAAATAGTCGTCGCTCCTTTTCCAATGAGGAATATTCTCCCCACCCCCTCTTGTGTTCTTTATCTAAAAGTTGCAAGAAAAACAAAGAATTCCAGGATACACTTCACCTACATTCCCCACAAAGCCACTGTTTACAGCCTATTTGTTTCTCTCTGTGACTCTTTATGTGCACATAAGCACACATACATACACACATAAGCTGATCCCTGAGATCAGCTGTGTCTGCTTGAGCATCAATCAGGATAAGGCCTGTGGACTGTTGACATTTCCTCAGAGAAGGAGGGATGGAGAGGACCACTGAACTTCCCACTGAAGCTGCTTTGGGGTCACCTGTAAGCAGCTCTCCACCTGTACACTATAAGGAAACCAATAAACTCGTTGGTTCTCAAGGAGAAACTTTGGTGAAATCAAACTTTTCACTTGTCGATTGGACCTTGAAGGGAGTGAGTAGACACTGGTCTATTTCCTCAGGAGAGGGATTTTAGCAACAACTCCTTAGAAATCCACTGCAGGCATGATTAAATAACCAGTGAACTACACATCTTTTTAAATTATCTGAGGGGGTCTAGTCTAACTCCAGTTAAGACCAGGTCTCTCCTGGGTGACAGCTGGAGAGGTGAATGGGCTACAAAATCCCAGAAGCATGGGTGACTGGAAGACTTCCCTAAGGGCCACCTGTCCCTAACACACAACACCTCCCTCTTCCTCTCTAGTGCCTATCCACAGTCCTTCCCTTCCCTCTGGCCTCAGCCCAAGTCACATTCCCTGTACTGCCTTGCCTATAAGCTCTATCATTTCTCTGTGGATTCTTACTGACCACCCCCTCCAGGAAGCCTTCCCAGACCACCCTGGCACCTCTGTGTTCTCCTCCCAAGCTGTCCTCTAGAGTCTACTGGTTTGTAGCCCTCCTGAGCCTGGGAAATGCTTTACATCCTGTCTCCCTTCTTTCTGGCAGGACCATCAAGACCAAGCCTTGGAGTTGGCCCAGGCTAGTGTTCGGTTACACTGAGCTCCTACCCACAAACAGGCCCTGTACGTGACTGAAATAGAAACCAAGGCTCAGTAGACTGGGGTCTAACTTGCATCATTCAAAAGTGAAGACTGGGTGTAGCCTGTACCATTGGAAAGTAATAAAAAACAGAAACTCCGTGGGTCTGGCATGATCTCCGTCCTCCCTCCTGCACGCTCCAGCATCCCACTCACTCACTCACTCACTCACTCACTCACTCACTCACTCACTCTCTCACTCACTCACTCACTCACTCACTTACTTACACACTCACTCACTCACTCTCTCACTCACTCACTCACTCACTCACTCACTCACTCACTTACACACTCACTCACTCACTCTCTCACTCACACACTCACTCACCAGTCAGTGCCCTCAGCCAGATACCGGGGCTGAGGTGTCTGCAGTTGGTGGCCAAAGTCAAAGCTGGGGTGGAGGCGGTGGGGGTGAACAGACACTCGATCCTGACTCCGCCTGCACAGAAAGAAAGAAACCTTTGTGTTAGAGGCTGCCTGGGCCAGCCAAGCTCCTAAAGCTCCGAGTGATGCTCCCTCCACCTACTGAGGATGCCCCCACTCTGCCATCCCCCACAGAAACTAAGGTTCCCAAACAACAAGGAATTTCCCAGGTGAGCAGAGACTGTTCCCCTGAATCCTCTCATCTGCTCTCACCATTCTCTTCTCTCTGCCACACTCTTCCTAGCTTCCAAGGCCCAGGTCAGAGTTCTCCTTCTCCAGGAAGACTTACTTCCCTGAACACCAAATCATGGCAGCCTTTCTCCTTGACTTCCCACAATACTGTCTGGCTGTCCCAGCCATGCCAGCCATCTAGTCACCAATGTTTGAGGACCTATCTGTCACCGAGCCTGAGTTTTCCCAAGCACCCTTAGGAATCAGTGAAGCCCTTTAGGTAGCTTGAGATGAAAAAAACCAAAAACCAACTATTTTCCTTTTCACTCTCTTAAAAACAAACAGTGGAACTTTCCAGAAACTTTGTGACATAGGACTCTTCAAGATCTAGTACAGAAGCAGACACAGGTCACTCCAGGTAGGGAAGCATGTAGGCCAACTGCAGATCTTCATTCACCTCTCCCTCCTCTCTCCAGATCCAATCCCTGGGTCTCATCCCCAGCTCTATAGCAGACCACCTGTTGTGGCTTCCCCTCACCTCTGTCCCATTCTGAGGGGACTAGCAGATCCTGGTGGGACACCCTGCTGTCCTCCCTCCTGTGGACCCCCTTAGCATCTCTCCCTAGCCCATCCCCATTTCTAAGGGTCAGCTCCTGACACCTAGAAACACATTTTACCTGGAACCCCCAGTGGCCACAGCTATCAGGATCCCAGAAGAATTTCCTACCAGGCCACACACAGCCACCACACTCTCCTAAGAACCAGAGAGGAAAAAGAACCCAAGGAACAAAACACTCAACATAGACAAGACCAGATATCAGCACCTAGAATTACAATCTTCACAAACCCAGATGCCTAGATACTAGTGTAAAAACAATCAGTAACAGGATGATATGTCTCCACTAGAGTCCAGCAACCCGACCACAGCAGGTCCTGAGAACTTCAAAACAGCTGACACACAAGACAAAGACCTTAAAACAGCCTTTATGCTTATGATAGAGGTCTTTAAAGAGGAAATTAATAAATTCCTCAAAGAATTCTATGAAAACACAAACAATGGAAAGAAAGGAAATAAAACCATTCAAGATCTGAAAGCAGAAACAGATTCAATTAAGAAAACCCAAACTGAGGGAATTCTAGAAATGAAAAATTTAGGAACTCAAACAGGAGACTCAGAGGCAAGCATCATGAACAGAATACAAGAGATGGAAGGGAAAAATCTCAGGCACTGAAGACACAATAGAAGAGATGAATACCTCACTCAAAGAAAATGTTAAATATAAAAAATCCTGTCACAAAACAACCAGGAAATCTGGGACATCCTGAAAGAATGAAATCTATGAATAATAGGAATAGAGGAAGAAGAAGAAATCCAGGTTAAAAGGTTCAGAAAATATTTTCAACAAAATCACAGAAGAAAATTCCCCTAACCTAAAGAAAGAGATGCCTATACAGGTACAAAAAGCATAGAGAACACCAAATAGACTGGACCAGAAAAAAAGTTGCCTTGGCACATAATAACCAAAACACTAAACATAGAGAAAAAAAGAAATAAAATTAAAAGCTACAAGGGGAAAAAGACCAAGTAACATATAAAGGTAGACCTATTAGAATTACATCTGACTTATTGATGGAGACTTTAAAAGTTCTATAAACACTAAGAGACTGCACATGCCAGCTCAGACTACTATACCCAGCAAAACTTTCAGTCATCATAGATGGAAAAAATAAGACATTCCATGATAAAACCAAATTTAAGCAATGTCTATCTACAAATCCAGCCTACAGAAAATGCTAAAAACAAAATGCCAACCTAAAGAGGTTAACCACATCCAAGAAATAAATAACCCCAGACTAGCAAATCAAACACACACACACACACACACACACACGCACACGCACACGCACACGCACATGCACACGCACACGCACACGCACGCACGCACGCACGCACGCACTCACGCACACATGCACACCAGGACAGTCAGAAACACATGGTGAAACCATGTCTTAAAAAGAGAAGAAATAAATTTATAGAATTGAATGAAAATGAATACTCAACATAACCAAACTTAGGGGACACAACGTAGAAGGTTCTAAGAGGCAAGTAAGTTTAGAGAACTAAAATGTCTACATTAAAAAAAAATTGGAGAGATCCCACTAGTAACTTAACAGCACACTAGAAAGCTCTAGAACAAAAAGAAATCACACTTAAAAGTAGTGGATGACAAGATATAATCAAACTCAGGGTTGGAGTCAATAAAATAGACATAAACAACAAATAAATAAAAAACACAATACAAAGAATTAATGAAACAAAGAGTTGGTTCGTTAAAAAAAATCATTATGACCGGCAAACCCTTATCCAAATTAAGGTAGAAAGAATATCCAAATTCATAAACTGAGAAATGAAAGGGGGAAAGGAGAACATTACAACAGACACTGAGGGAATCCAGATAATCATAAGGACACACTTTTAAAAATGTACTCCACTAAATTGGAAAATCTAAAAGAAATGGATCATTTTCTCAACAAATAACACTTACCAAAGTTAAATCAAGATCAGATAAGCAATTTAAACAGACTTATAACCCCTAGTGAAATAGAAGCAGTTATTAAAACTTTCCCAACCAAAAAAATCTCAGGGCCAAATGGTTTTGGCACAGAATTCTTTTAGACTTTCAAAGAAAAGCTAATGACAATACTTCTCAAATTATTTCACAAAATAGAAACAGAAGGAACATTGCCTAATTTATTTTATGAGGTCAGGGTTACCCTGACACCCAAATCACATAAAGACCTAACAGAGAAAAGGAATTGCAGACCAGTTTCCCTTATGAACATAGATGCAAATTTTTATAATAAAATACTTGCAAACTGAATCCAAGAACACACCATGATCATCCACTATGATCAAGTAGGCTTTATCCCAGAGATGCAGGGATGGTTCAACGTACATTTTTTAAAAATGTAATCCACAATATAAACAAACTGAAAGAAAAAAATTACATAATCATCTCATTAGATGTAGAAAAAGCCTTTGACAAAATCCAACATCCTTCATGATAAAAGTCCTGGAGAGATTAGAGATACAATGGACATACTTAAATGTAATAAAGGCAGTTTACAGCAATCCCCTAGCCAACATCAACTTAAATGGAAAGAAACTCAAAGCAATTTCATTAAAATCAGGAACAAGACAAGGTTGTCCACTTTCTTCATACATATTCAATATAGTATTTGAAGTCTTAGAATATAAGGCAACTGAAGGAGATCAAGAGGATACAAATTGGAAAGTAAGAAATCCAAGTATCTTTATTTGCAGATGATACAATAGGCTGAAATAATGACCCTAAAATTCCACCAGGAAACTCCTACAGCTGATAAACACTTTTAGCAAAGTAGCTGGGTACAAAATTGTTTGACAAAAATCAATAGCCCTCCTATATACAAATAGCAAATAGACTGAGAAAGAAATTAAGGAGAACAATACCTTTCACAACAGTCTCAAAAATGTAAAATATCTTAATGTAACTCTAACTAAGCTTATGTGATAAAAACCTTAAGACATTGAAGAAAGAAATTGAAGAAGATATCAGAAGATGGAAAGATGCGCATGGATCGGTAGGATTAATATGGTAAAAATGGTCATGCTACAAAAAGCAATCTACAAATTCAAAATTCCACAAAATTCTTCACAGATCTTGAAAGGATAATTTTCAGCTTCATATGGAAACACACACACACACACACACACACACACACACA